GCAGAGGAAAAAGTTGGTGAGAAGGAAGGGGACTTCAATTGCTAGCAGAAATTCGATGGAACTACAGAGGAAAGGTAGCGGAGGAAGACGGGAGAGGATGGGTGGAGCAGTGGTTATGGGAAGTTGGAGCAGAGGGGCTGCGCTTAGGGCAAAATTTGGGTTATCAGCAAGATCGGTGCCCCAAGGGTCATCGGCAAAATCAGGATCAAACGGGAGTAGTACGAGGGTTGACAAGGTCTTGCATGAAGAGGCTAAGGCAACAATTCGCATAGGTTTCTTGCAATGTAAAGGTGGCTAACAGTACTTTGTGTGCTTCAGAGCACGGGAAAACTTCAAACAATTTTTCAGTCTCCAGAACCCAAGCTTCAGCTTTTAACAGTTTAAGGCCTCCCTGAAAGGATGGCGGTTTCATTTTGCTAAACTTCTGGGTGAGAGCAATTATGTCCCCATCATTTACATTCACATTCTGTTCCGGTACTATCGGAGGAGGAGGTGGGGGCTGTTGATTCAGTTGTTGGTCCAGTCTTGCAGTTATCAGTTCCATCATTTGTTCCAGTCTGGCCATTCTGGCCTCAGAGGATGAGGATTCAGTTTCATTTACAGTGTTTGCGTTATCCATTTCACTATAAGCAGTTATAACAGTTTTAAACATAAGCAGTCATTTGTTTAACAGTTTAACACGTTAGCATATATTCAGTCATAACATAACCACACACTTATCATGCTCATGAGATGCCCTAATTACTTTCCTAGGACACCCTATAGCTCATTTGGACACGTGTGTGCGGTATAACTCGTGGTAAGTATCGCTCTGATACCACTCTGTCATGCTCCAAATGAGGTGAATGAGAGGGGTAAATTTTGGAGTGTATTACATAGATTGAAATCAATGTTTAGTGATCCTTGGTGCTTGGCTGGGGACTTTAATGAAATTAGGAATATTGGGGAAAGAAGAGGATGTTCCAGAAGAGACAAAGGGATGAAGGAGTTCAACCAATTCATTGAAAAGTTAGAGCTTATTGATTTACCTATGATGGGTAGGCAATTTACTTGGTGTAATGCTACTGAAGGGGAAAGATGGAGTAGGATTGATAGGATCTTGTTGTCAACTGAGGGCTGGAAAGGGTTAATTTTAAACTATGAGGTTTGGAGAGAAGTGTGTCTGACCATTGTCCACTGTTACTGTTAGAAGATGGGAGGGATTGGGGTCCAAGGCCGTTTCGCTTCTTAAATGCTTGGTTTCTCCATCCCAATTTTGGAAGCCTTGTGAAGAAATCCTGGGAGGAGTCTGCATTGTCTGGATGGGCAGGTTTTGTTATAATGAATAAACTAAAGATGCTTCGAGCAGATTTGAAGAAATAGAATAGAGAGGTTTTTGGGAATGTGACTTCAGCATTAAAGGTAACAGAGGAGGAGCTTCATGCTATTGATTTAGTGGCTGAGTCGAGAAATCTTGAGGAGAATGAGGTTCGAAGAAGAAGAGAAGTCAGAAAAGAAGTATGGTCACTGGCTAAACGAGAAGAATGGATGTGGAAGCAGAAATCTAGACTGAATTGGAACCTTCAAGGGGACAAAAACACAAGATTTTTTCATATTGTTGCCACCAGTAGACAGAATAAAAATTTGTTAAACTCAATTGAAGTAGATGGGGTGATGTACGAAGACCCTTGTAGGATTAAACAGGAGGTGTTTAAACATTTCAAAAGGAGATTTTCAGAGGAGTGGAAATCCAGGCCCAAGCTTAAAGGTCTCTTCGGAACCATTGGGCATGATGAGGTTTCGGATGGGTTAGTTGCACCATTCTCTGAGGAGGAAATATGGAGGGCTGTGAAGGAAAGTGATAGCAACAAGGCTCCAGGACCGGATGGGTTTAACATGGCCTGCTTTCAGAAGTGCTGGAAGGTGTTTAAAAATGAAATCCTACAGTTCTTCAATGAATTCTATGATAATGGGCGTCTAGCCAAAGGTATTAATAGCTCTTTCACAACCTTAATTCCTAAGAAAGATTGTCCGGAGGGTATTTCGGATTATAGGCCAATTAGCCTTATTGGTTCCATCTATAAGATTCTTTCTAAGGTTCTAGCATCAAGGTTGAAAAAGGTGCTACCAAGGATAATTGGGGATTCTCAAACTGCATTCATTGGGGGACGGAACATTTTGGATGGGGTGTTAATATCTAATGAAATTGTGGATTGGTGGAAGAAGAAGAAGCAGAAAGGGATGGTTTTGAAATTGGATTTTGAAAAAGCTTTCGACTCAGTAAATTGGGAGTGTTTATTCGAAATGCTGTCCAGCTTTGGCTTTCAAAACAAGTGGATAAGGTGGATAAAGGAATGTTTGCAATCATCTAGAGTTTCAATCTTGGTGAATGGCTCACCTACAGCTGAATTTTGTCCAGAAAACGGACTCAGACAAGGGGATCCACTGTCGCCGTTTCTCTTTGTCATTGTAGCTGAAGGTCTTAATATGTTATTCCAAAGGGTGAAAGATTTGGGGCTAATCAAAGGAGTTGTTATAGGCACTAGGAGGATCAATGTAACCCACCTACAATTCGCGGATGATACTATTGTGTTTTGCGAGGCTGAAGAGCAAGAAATTCTGAATGTTAAACGAATTTTGAGATGCTTTGAAATGCTGTCTGGATTAAGGATTAACTTCCATAAAAGTAAGGTATGTGGGGTGGGGGTACAAAATGAGGTGGTGGCTGATTTCGTTGAGAGACTGAACTGTCAAGGTCAAAAGTTGCCTTTAATATATCTTGGGTTGCCTCTTAGGGCTAGTCCAAAAAAGAAGACTACATGGTTGCCAGTGATCAATAAATTCAAGTCTAAGTTAGCTAGAAAGACACTCTCTTTTGGGGGTCGGTTAACTATGATCAAGTCAGTGTTAACTTCATTACCAGTGTATTACTTATCTTTATTTAAAGTCCCTGTGGGTGTAGTTAAGCTGTTAGATAGAATCCAAGCCAGGTTCTTTTGGGGAGGCCTGGAAACAAAAAAGAAGCTTCATATGGTGCGTTGGGACGAAATCACTAAAAAGAAATGGTGTGGTGGTTTGGGTATTAGAAGGCTGAGAGATGTTAATGAGTGTCTCTTAGCAAAATGGTGGTGGAGATATGGTGGTGAGGATCAAGCATTGTGGAAAGATGTTGTGGCTAGCAAGTACAGCAGCTTTGGTGGGAGATGGAGACCTTTTTTGGTGGAAGGCATTCAGTGTTCAAGAATATGGGGTGATATTCTTAATTTAGAACACATCAGTCCCAACTTATTTAACTTCTTCATGGAGAATTCTGTCATCAAAGTTGGAAATGGGAGGAGAATTAGTTTTTGGGAGGATCATTGGGCATCTAATTGTAGTTTGAGGGTTGAGTTTCCCAGATTATTTGAGCTGTCAGATGACAAAGAGGCTAATCTTAATCAGATGATTGACAGGAGAAACAGTACAACTGGGTAGAGCTTTAGGTTCAGAAGAGGTCTGAGGGCTTGGGAGGAAGATGAGTTGGAAAGACTTAGAGCGTACTTGACTGCTCATGAGCCAATTTTAACAGATAGTGTTGATTCCTTAGTTTGGAAAGCCTCGTCTTCAGGAATGTTCACTGTAAAATCAGTATATAACAGGAATGATGCAGCTCAGGGGTCGGAGGATGTTAGGTGGATTTGGCAGAATTTATCTCCTCCAAGAGTGCAGTTTTTCGGATGGCTTGTTTGGAAGGGTAGAATCAAGTCTAGAGCATTCCTTCAGCGTATAGGGTGTCTCAGTCAGGATGCAACCACAGAGTGTGTGTTCTGTGGCTGTGCTGTTGAAACAGATTGTCATGTGTTGCTCCAGTGCATGTTTGCTTGGAAAATTTGGTCGAATATTATGTCCTGGTGGGGTATGCAATGGGTAATTCCTGAGAATGCTAGAGGTGTGCTGGAGTGGTGGAGAGGGTTCAAATGGAGTATATTTGAAACTAAAATTTGGAATGTAATTCCATTCGCTGTGTTTTGGTCAATATGGACTCTGAGGAATGACTGTATTTTCAATGGCAAACAGCACTGCTTTATGGATGTCTGTGAACTAATTAAAACTAGAATTGCCCTATGGATAAGATCTAATATAAGTCTGTCGCAGTACTCTGTTCATGATATGGTTGAGAATCTGCCCCAGGTGCGTAGGTGTTTGGGGGGTAGGGGTGTGTAACCTTAGAATCTAATACAGGTGCTCCGGGTGTATATTGATATGGCAGTGAGATCAGTTGGTGTTTAAGTAAATTTCTGGGGTGAAGTAGTAGAGGTATTGAGCTGTGGATGTCTTTTTGTTCTGCTGCTGGTTTTTCTGCTTTCTATCTCTGCACAGACTTGATCTGAACTGCTGTGGTGCTTATCTTGCTGCTATGGGCTTCTGATAAAGATGCAATTCCCTGTGGTGAACTAAGGACTGCTGTCTTTTGGGCTATTGATATGGCAGTGAGATCAATTCGTGCTTATGGGGCTGCTGCTGTATCTCTGCACAGAGTTGATTGAATTCTGCTGAAGCTTTGATCTGTTTTGGCGAAGATGGTCTTCTGATAAAGATGCAACTCTTCTATATAAGGACTGCTGTCTTTTGGACTCGGTTGTTGAGGCTTGCATCTGACTGGAGTTCCTGCTGTTACAGTGTTGGGTCAATTGAAGTTTTGCTGCATTGGTGGGTTGGGGGTGGGTGTATGTCTCTTGCCTCACTGTGTTGTTCTGTCTTTGCGGTTGGATTCTCTCCAACTTTGTTGGTGTGCTAGCAGATGATAGGGCGGTCTTATCGGTGCCAACCTAGTTGGGACTGGTTTGTTTTGCTTTGATGCTCTTTGCACTCATCGCTCTCGTCATTGATGTAATCTTTTTTTGGTTCATCAATAAATTTTATCTTTTGCTGATCAAAAAAAAAAATATAAATAAATAAATAAAAAAAATCATCAAAATAAATATAACAATATCATAGAGTACGCGTAGCAAAGATCAATGTTGAGAACCATAAACAATATTTTACTCTTCAGACTCCTGCTCGTATTGCTGGAGCAGTTGCTTGCACCCGGACATGCGCTGATCCCTCACAAAACCCATTGCATTGGCGAAACGGTTGTTTGAAGCAATCCCATTGTTTCGGGTAAGTACCACACGAGCACGGTCACGCCCTGGATCTGCCGTTGCACAATCTCTCTGTGGGCTGCTAACTAGCATGGCATCACAGAGCTGGTCGCCATGGTCCTCTTTGATCATGATCTTGTACTTTCCTGTTGAGTCTGTTGTTCCATCAATGCTGTATAAGAGTTTGTGTGTGTCCCTGTCTTTGCGTTCGATTTTAACCTTGGCACCTATTTGACAGATGTAACAAGAATCATTACCTTGGCACCTATCCATGGCTTCTGAGAATACATTGACAGCAATGACTAATTCTCATGACAAATAGGCTTTCCCTTATTCTCGTAAAAACCTATGCCCTTGTTTGTTTTGGGAGATAGAATGGAGAGGATTGATAGTGAGGGAATTAATAGTGAGGGGATTAATATTGAGGAATTGTTAAATTATTTTTATATAAAATAATAAAACAAATAAAAAAATATAAAAAAATAAACATTATATTTAAAAAAAATTCCCAATATATAAAAAATAAAAAAATTTCTAATCCCCTTACTATTTTTTTAATACCATCTCTACCTCCTCATTACCAATCCCCCTTCCTCCTCCTTACTAAAACCAAGGGATTACTAATCCCCTCCATATCTCTCCAAACAAACACCTCATTTTCAATCCCCTCCTCACTATCAAACCTAATCCCCTTCCCATAACCCCAAACAAACGGGCCTATGGGTTCACAATATGTTTCAATCATATTATTACTTTTCTAGTCAGAACATCTGAAAATCATACGTATGCAACCACCCTAGTCCTTACCCTGCATAATCTCTACCTCCATTGTTTTATTATCAATTTCTCTCTCAATAAAGAATTTGGTGATACCGTTAAAAGGACTCAATGACACAATTTGAATTATTTAGTAGTCAAATCTAAATACGTCAGTTCAGTAGATAATTTTATACTAATTCTTGTAAGAAAAATTATATACAGGTCTACTTCTTAGATCCATTTTATAGAATGAGTGATGTGTTAAAAAGGTGATTAGTTGACAAATTGAAAATATTTAATTAGCAACCAATTATCTTCTTGACATGTCCCTAAGTCTAGAAAGTAAATATAATTTTTGAACCTGAATAGCAACGCTCTTTTTGTAATTATTTGGGTTGGTTACCTCACTCATCACACTAGAATAATGCCTAACCGAAAAAGAGAAACACAATAAGCATAGGCCTACACAATTAGGTAATGTGTTTTTTTTAATTATCAATTTTTAACTAATAATAAGTTAAATAAAAAAATAGGAATGTATCAGCGAATGAATTGTAGTTACTATATTAGACAAATTGTTTGAACGGACGGGATGATAACGGATTATAATAGAATATATTATTAGTTCTAAATAAATAGGATTTAGACTATTTAGTTAGAAATGATGCACATTTAACTATTAATCTAACCTTTAATTTTCTAACCAAACGATGGATTAATAAATGGTTGTTTGGGGTGTCCTAAATAAGTGTACTTTTTGACTCTTTTTGACTAAAAAGTTGAGGAAAAAAAGATGGTTGTTTGGGATAATTTTTTATCTTTTTACGAAAAAATATGTATTAAAATATTGCATAAAATGGCAAAATTATGTTTTTACCCCTATGAAGTAGACTCATAAGTGACAAGTGGTAGAGGATAGTACTGTAACAACCCTCGTACTGTTTACTGATTTATGACCGATTGATTACCGATAATCACCGATTACTGTTAAACGAAGCTGATAATGACTGATAACTAACTGATAATCGAACTGAATGAAATACTGAACCGACTGACTGTTACTGTATTGGCTTCCGCCAGGCCCTGTACTCTGTTTTACTGTATTACTGTTAAGCAGGCCTTCGGTAATCTCGGATTACTGGCCGGTTACGGTGCTAAACCCATAGGGCCGGGTTTGGGTCGTGACAAGTACGACTTGGTTGAAATGGGGCATGAGGCTTCACGGGTGTTGTTGGGCCGTGGGGCCCACCACAGGTCCCGTGTTGATAATCCAAACCGTTCAATGTGTAGAACTCGTTAAGTACTATGTGGTTTTGAAAAATCACTTTAATCAGATATCGATAACTATGTGATCAAAATAGTTTTGTATGAAATTAATGGATGGTGAAAAATAAACGACTGAAAAAAATTTGATTTGACCACATAGCTATCCATATCCGATCAACGTGAATTTTTATAGGCATATAGTACTCGACGAGTTTTACACATTGAACGGTTCGGATTATCAAAACGAGACCTGTGGTGGGGCCTCACGAGCCCAACATTACCATCCAACTTAATGAATATATATATATATATATATCTAATTTTCTTTTTTGTTCCTTTTTTTGACATCAATTCAGTACCTATCAACTCGTTGGTTTTTGTATTAAAATATTGTGTAAATTAATTTTTTTTATGTTTTTAATTTGTGAATAGTAATAACTTTTTAATTTTTTTAATAATTTTTTGACTTTTTAAATTTTTTCTGATATGCCAAACCAAACCTAAATTTATTAGATATGAAATTCAATCTAATACCTCAATCACATCACATGAAACAAACACCACCCTCACGGTACCCGTCAATTAGGCCAGTTAGGCCACCGGACTTTTAATAATGCAATAATGCTTGGGACCCCTTTTGGGGGTCACCCCCTCACCCCCTTTGCCACGTGGCAGGGGTGATTGGAGGAGCAGGAAAAAAAAGAAAAAGAAAAAGAATAGATAACCAATGAGAGAGAGAAGGGGTCAAAGGGGGTGGGGAAAAAAGGGGGGATGAATCATTACTCAATGCAATAATACTTGAGACCACTAATTAGTGATGTCACTAATGATGTGGCAGTGGGTCCCATCCACTGCCACAGTGTGTGCTGTGCCTTATTTTTTATTTTTTTTTTATTTTCCACCTCACTAGTGGTAGATTTAGAGCTCATTATTTAGAGCTCTAAATCATTTATGTTAATAATGTTATTTTAATCAAACGCTTTTACTAAACAAAAATCAAAAAATAAAAAATAAAAAAAATCGTTACTTATATAGGCCTAAAAATAAAGCTGCTTTGAGTTCATATGTTTAAATCATAATTAAAAAAAAAAGAAAAAGTGAAGCCTCATATACTTGTTTGTTTGTTCTTGTTTTTGTTTTTGTGTTTGTTTTTATTTTTATTTTTTTTATCTCCTATATTTGTACTGTTTTCCACCTCACTAGTGGTAGATTTAGAGCTCATTATTTAGAGCTCTAAATCATTTATGTTAATAATGTTATTTTAATCAAACGCTTTTACTAAACAAAAATCAAAAAATAAAAAATAAAAAAAATCGTTACTTATATAGGCCTAAAAATAAAGCTGCTTTGAGTTCATATGTTTAAATCATAATTAAAAATAAAAATAATAAAAAAAAAGTGAAGCCTCATATACTTGTTTGTTTGTTCTTGTTTTTGTTTTTGTGTTTGTTTTTATTTTTATTTTTTTTTATCTCCTATATTTGTACTGGGATCAAATAAAAAAATATTTGTACCTGTGCTAGAATGTTCTAAATAAAAAAGTATATTAGAAAAACATCATCGTAAAATATTACTGTAATTAATTAGTACTTTGGCATTTTGAAAATTAAGAAAAATCAAAATTAAATAAAAAATTTATTACTATTTAAAAATTTAAACAAACAGTAGTTAGTAATTGGGATGCCCCTTTAAACACACACATATATGCATGAATTTATACTAGGATCAATGATGAATGTATGCAGATTTGGTGGTGTTATATGTACCAATTGATATATTAATTAATGTATTAATATATATTATAGACTATTTTGAAAAGATGATTAAAAGCCATCTTCCAACTTTTACCTATTTTGAGTCATATTATCTTTCACAACTTTCACACATTTTTTCAGAAAAAATAAAAAAAAAATCAACTTTTAACAATCTTCCCCAAAAAACTCATATTATTACTGATCTCACCGATTTTATAGTAATTGATATACTAATTGATGCATATAGCATTATTCATGCAGATTAGGGGTGGACATTTGTTAGGCCGGGCCGGGTTTGGGTTGGTCTAATATTACATAATAAGAGATTTTGTGATCGGGTCTCTATATTTGCCCAAACTCAGTTCAAAAAATAATTATAAATCCCAAGTCCACCCATTATGCTATATGTTAAATTTTTTTTCAAAACATTCCATAATTAAATTTAATTATAAATTATATTTTTTACATATATATATTAATAATATTATAAATTAAAGAATTTTGCATATAAATTAAAAATTTTCTTAAATAAATTCAATCAAATATCACCACAAACGTGGAATTCAATAAATTAATAAAAATAAAATTTAGATCTTAACAAATATATATATATATATTAATATATTATAATTAATTAATGTAATAATGACGGAGCTAGAATAGATTAAAAATATAAATTTCAAGTCCAATTCATTAATATATTGAGTTGAAAATGTCCATCCAACTCGAGATGAGCTAAAATAATCTTTTTATGCCTTAAAAAAAATTAGACTGATGAGCACTCCATTGAAGATTCATTCCCAAGAGTACGAAAATTAATGGAAAACGAGCAGAAGAGAAATGAAAAGGCTGTTAGGATTGGGAATTCCGCCCAAGACTTTCCAGAAAATATACCAAGTAGTAAAACACACCCACATTCTAGGAGACACTATATTTAACGTGGTTCGACCTCAATGTCTACGTCTACGGGAGAGTAACCGGTTATCACAATAAAATGGAGAGATTACAGAAAGATTACAATAGAGGAGGAGCTCACACTATCCTCACTCAGCCACTCTCCCGTCTCCTTCGCTCATACCGAGAGAGACGGTCTCTCCGCTTCACATCTCTCACTCTCTTTGGTTTGCTTAGTTTGTTCTCTCGGTTCTCTCTCTCTCTCTCCAACCCCTTCTCCTCACCTCAATTTATACACAATTGAGGGACGATGTAATTGGTCACCACCTACCTGCTTCTACTCTCTAGTGGGTTGGAGTTGGTGAGCCACCCCCACTCTCTTTCCAAGTGGGTTCTTCAAGTGGTGCATTATCACCCACTCAACACGGGGTGATATATTCAACAAATCACCCCCTCAACCCATGTGAGGTGATCCACTGCACATATTGTTGCTAATCTTGTCATGCCCAAATTTTAACAGAATTTTCATCTCCTCATTGAGACGCTACATCCCCTGAAGCTAGAGATAATACACCAGAGATACAAGAGGAGGAGGGAAAC